AACAATGACTCAATAAGGGTTTTAAAATATGCTTGAATTGTAAATCAGGACCTACAAAGTAAGGTTGATTAGCTGGGGTCATTCTCCTGAAAATATTCATGTTAAACGAGCTCATTAAAAAATCAAACAATCATGCTAATCAATCAACAAATGCAACAATCAATTACCATGAAAACTGGCACTTGAGTATGGGCTCAGAACAGTCTCATAATACACACATGCACACAGAAGGATTCACACTTGTATTTCCGGATCCACACTTGTGTTTTTCAATGCACACACAAATGTGGTCCGTTTCATATACATGTAAATAAAATCAAAATACTGAAAAAGGTTTTACATATGTATTTTTGATCCTCACATATTTGTTTCCCGTTTAAATCTCCTGAACCTGCAAACACAAACCGCTTTCTGTGCACGGATCGCTGTGCATTCGTGTGTGGGTTTTTTGAGACTCCCCTGACGGTCACCCGATTCGTACTTGTAATTTTTTCTATCTATAGCCAATCAGATGTCTCCTTCATTCTAAGCCAATCACATGAGCGCGCCCCCACGAGGGTATGATTTATTGCGTTCATGACACTTCATATACGCATTTTGCGCTGTCCGGAGCTGACAGGTCCATGGAGCCTGCCTTCTAATCTAGTGTTGAAAAACACAAGTGTGGATCCGGAAATACAAGTGTGAATCCTTCTGTGTGCATGTGTGTATTATCAGACTGTTCTGAGCCCATACTTGAAGGACCAAGGCAAAAAAAACAACATAAAGGCATAAACTCTGAAGCCTGCATGTCACTGAAGCAGATAGAATTCAAAGGAACAAATCAAAGAAGAACTGATGGTTCATCAAAAAAGGAGGACATGCGGCTTCTAACACAACAGAGCAAATGACTCACAACAACACGACCACAAAGTGCAACCTTGAGATATTCAGGAACACAAGGATTCATGCCGACTAACATAAGTATCTTGTGTCGTGTGTGTGTGTGTGTGCGTGAGGGTTTGATGTGTGTGTTTTTGTTTCGCAGCAAAAAGAAGCTGTGTGCTCTCTATGGGAAGTGGACAGAGTGCCTCTATGTTGTGGACCCTGCCGCCTTCGAAGCACATAAGAAAAACGACAAGAAAGCGGGGGAGAAAAAAAGCAGCAAAGCGGTACGAGCTGCTTCCTTCCGAACAGCAGGGATTCACATCAGTCTAACATTGTTATTCATCATGGGAACAATGCAGTTTGATGGAAAATATCAGGTTTTTAAGAAAGATAGATTGAGGATATCATGAGCTCTTTGCTAAACTCCATAATTACGTTTTTTCTATCAATAAACACTGTAATATTACATCTTTCAGAGAGCATGATTAATATGTAGACCCCGCAGTGCAGCATGATATGGGTTTGTCACTTGTGGTGTGGTGCAGGGTTGCAGTGAGGATCAGGAAGAGGTTCCCTCTCCAGCTGCAGACACCGTGGAGATGATCCCTGGCAGCCAGCTGCTGTGGAGAATCGCACCCAGGCCGGCCAACTCTGTCGAGGTCTCACCGATTAATTAACACTATCATTTAATTATTAATTAGAGCGCAGTCTCAAAATAGGCACGTGTTTGAAATGTTCCAATATACCAAATTGGTCTTCATCTGCAGATGTACAGCTTCACTTCCTTTGCAATGCAACTGAACGAGCTGCACAAGGAGATGGAGGGACTGATCCCTCAGACCGACTGCAGGCTGAGGCCAGACATCAGAGCCATGGAGAACGGGGACATTGGTAATTATTAGTGGTATCACAATGGTACTGTAGATACAATAAATATACTCTCCCTTTTAATCTGAAACTCTACAATGTTGTTATCCCAATAGACCTAGCCAGTGAGGAGAAGAAAAGGCTGGAGGACAAACAGCGAGCCGCTCGCAAAAACCGCTCCAAATCTGATGAAGAGTGGAAGACGAGGTGAGTGTGATGATGCAGCTTCACAACTCAAAGTGTTCCTCTCCCTTAAGTAGTCAGCTAATGTACGCAGGAAGTTTTCAAAGTGACATTAAACTCATTGTAGTAATTTTTCATGAAAAGAAAAACCTATTCCAGGCCTTCATCCGGTGCATAAAACGGCAATAATTGATACAGTATTTAACATTAATAAAGAATCCATATGGATTGTTCAATCTGCTTAAATAAAGTGGAATTCATATGTTGTATTAACTCCACAAGAAGTTTCTGTCTTTAAAGGAAATGTTTCGGGAAACACACTTATCCTGACGCTGATACCTTTTTTTTCATATACATTTTGCAATGCTGTTGACTCTATTTTGTTAAATGAACTTTTAACTGTTGATCATTAAGATTGATTTTGTTCTGTTTTAATTTATTACGATAAGACTACACGTTTAACTCCAAAACTATGTGAAACTATGTTTGTGTGAACATTGTAAACTTAGATTACGCTGTGTTTATTTGTGCCAGCGTTGTTTCCATTTGTATTTACTTTATACGCACTTTTCATTGTGGACATACAGCTTCTGTTTTTAAGTGCTGCAATTTCATTATCCTTTTCTGTACTCTTTCTGGTGCTTCGAAATGCTTTGGCTAAATCTTCATCTGACTTGTTTTTCTGTTGCATCTCTCTCTGACGTTAAGGAATCCTGCCCTGGGCCCAAGGTTAGAGCTTCCGCTGTGTGTGTGATGTGTCTGAGATGTGATGTGATCAAAAGAGCTTGCCGCCTCAGAGTTTCAAAATGCCTCTTGTATCTGAATTGCAATCTAATCTACATAACTGTGTCCTGCTTTCCGCTGCAATATGAGAGAATATCAGTGACATTTTATTCATCTGCTCTCCCTTCCAACAGCATGAAAGCTTTATTTAAAATACTCCATCACCAAAGGAGTCCTTTCTCCCAAATCATGTCTCTCACTGCTTCTATACTTCAAAGATAAAACAATAAAACATTCATTTTAGTCCAAAACAAACAACATAAACGGACAACTTCCATGCAAATTACCCATAACCTTGTGATGAAGCATGCCTGCCCTTCCTTCCTCAATTTCCCTGATTTCTTAGCGTTATGATTCTCTGGTTGATGTCAGTTAGAAGTGTTTAGTTCAATGGAGCTCAAACTGAATGCTGATGTGTCTCTGTTGGTTTTCAGGTGGTTTCAGCAGGGGCAAAACCCCCACAATAACTCCCAGGACTGGCTCTTTTGTGCTGGATACTGGGACAGGAAATACAGCCAGCTGCCAGACATTTACTAATGGACACTTCATGCAGAAATTAACCATACAGTGAACTTTATACAGAGCAGCATTAATCTTTTTTTTAAATGGAATAATAACTACAAACAATATACAATCAGTGTTCTTTAACTGTGTGGCCTTAATCTACTTCATGCTGGTAAGATTGTGCATCAAAATGTCAATAATCCATATTTAAAAGTGATGAAATGTAAAGTTGTTTGACAATGCGTTGAAATGTAGGATTTGTATTTAGAGTGAGGCCAGTTTGTTTCTGCTCATAATGGACTTTTAGCAAAGCAGAACGTTGCGGATGCACAGGGGTTCATGGTTTTATCTGTTTTCTTTTAAATGTTCAGTGTCTTGACTCTAAATGTATATCTGTATATATACTTTATACACCACCAGTGACCTCATCATGTCGTTCACTCACCAAACCACTACCAGTCAGAAAACATAAGGTTGATGTGGATGCTGTTTCTCCTGATGTGCTTTGCCTTGTAAAAAACTGTATTATACAACCGCTAGGATAAAGTTGAGTTGTTCACATCATGTAGAAGAAACTGTTAGATTTCAAGGCGTTTCGGCCTCCTTGTATAGAGCATTGGAAGTCTTTTTTTTGGGAAACCTAAATAAATCAATTCCATGTATAGAGTATGTTTTTACAATTTATGTGAAGTACGCTTGGAATGCAAGACAAAGGTCAGAGTCAAAATCTATAGCACTTCAAAGATGACCATTCATGTGCATAACAATAGAGTGGTTGTCATATGCAGTAAGAAGCTGCATAAGTGAAAAAGACAGTGGTGTCTGTTCAGGGGAAAACCAGAGAGAAAGGTAAGCTAAATGTTTTGTTTTTTTCCAGGGAATGAAAGAGATACAGAAAAGCAAAGTATTTGTGTGAATTGAGGTGGGATTTGCATGTGAATGGGGAGAACTGTAAATGACATCTCACATAGCCATCATATCCATTAGGGTAATAAACAGAAAGAAAGGATCACACAAAGGGTTGAAAATCCAGGGCGGCAAGGAATAATGGAAAAGTTACAGGGACTTTTGGGAGATAAAATAATAAAATACTGTCTGTGTTATTTTAAATGTATAAACGCAATTTGTGCAGTATCCATTTATTTGTAGAGGTCAAAACAGCTTATGGCAGAAATGCATTGTAAAAAGAAGCATTTTCAAATTAACCAGGTTGACTACATGGGCTTTATTTCAACTCACACTAACATAATGCCTTTTATTATTTATTTAATTAATGTTAACCTATTTACACATTTGAAGTTGATTTGTGTTCAGTAATAAGATTGTATCTTACAATATCGGGACATTTTGTAATGGGTGACACCTAAAATCTGGATTGAATTACTTAATTATTGCTTTGTTTTTCAGCAGGGTAGTTTCAGTTTTTTCAAGACGCGACGCAGACGGACCCGGTGGAATCTAGGGGTTATGAGACAGTACCTTCTGTTCTTTGTCACGCCTGGTAAGTAAAAATCGGACAGCTGTCTTGTACATGTGTTTCAATTATCACCCATTTAGTTCAGTTCAGGGTCACAGAAGACTACTGCCTTACTGAGCATGGCACATAAGGTAGAGCACTCCCTCTAATGGTCAAAATAAGAAATGCAGATTAAATTGTATTCCTGTTAGAAACGCAATAATCATCTTAAACCCAAAATATGTGATATGCTTTGGTTTGGCTATGGAATGACTGAAATTTTTTTGCCTTTTCATAATTTAATTCAAAACAAAGGCCAGTATTGCCCAAGTGTGTTCAGTAGTATAACTTGGCTTTGTGTCGCTATGTGGTGTGGTAAAGAACCTCATGCAGGCTCTCATGTCCCTGTACATGTATTGTTATTTGGTACGGAAAGAGGTTGATATAAAAATATAATGAAATAACCATCATGCACTACTTCCTTTCATACAGCTTGCATGGTTTGGTTGTGCACATCAAATTGTATCAGATAATTGCCAAATAGAAAAATCTGGCTAATATTGATAACACAAAGGGTTAGTTAAAAGACTAATTTAGTGTTTTTATTGTGGTTCTTAAATGAATTCGTTCTAAGGACAGTTTTATAGCTAAATTCTTCGTAAATTGCAGTAACTGTTTCTACCCTTCAAGTAGATTCAGAGCATCTTTCCAAACATTTTCCCCAAATCTATCATATTCATATACCATCCAATCATTGCTATGTTTTATGTTCATGTTAAAATGCAAACATAATACTATACAACTGCCTAACAAATACTCATTTTATAATATGTAAAAGCCAAGAGATCGTTTTAAACCAAATCATTGTTCAACAGGTGCAGCAACAGTAGCAATGGGGGGCTTGTCTCATCAAAGAGGATTTTAAATGAAGTTCTGCCGGTTTAACAGAACCTGACAATATGAATTTCTGATGATGAAAAACGGCTGTGGTGTTAGATAAGTCGGCATGTCACCCATTAATTACAAGTCCTTATTCTTTAGGACATCTATTAATGCTGACAGGGTCAACCACCCTGGATCCCTTCTCAAATGCCACAGGTCTTCTATTCAGCTTCACATTTCGTAAGCAGCCCACAAACGGTGAGTGTACGGGGACTCCCTTCTGCTTTGTGGTCCCTGAATGGAGAAAAAATCAAATCAGAAACCCACATTACGTTTAGCTGACTCTTGTATCCAAAGCGACGTTACATAAGTGCAAAAAACCACAAACAAAAAACAATCAAATCTTAATTCAAATGAAAATGCATTGACAACAGTTGAACTGATTTCCCATTTATTCAAGCAATATTAAAGAAAATGAGTTCGATAATGATTTGACATGTAGTTGAATGAGTGCAATGGTCGAAGAAAACCCAATATTGTAAAAAATATCCGGTGAGTTATTTGTTGATTTACCTCCGATGTAAAGTGTATCCAGTCCTGTGTAGCCGGATGTGAAGAGGACATTTTTCCGCTCAGACATGGAGTCCATCTGCAGTTTGATAATGTCACGTTTCCTGGACACTGGATAACAGTATAGAACCTTACATTAATAGCTACTCATGTATCATCACGTTTTTGTAAGGTTGTCAGCATGAGAAAGCATACACTACCTGTTATCACGTGAAACTTTCCATCACAGAGGCTTTGTGGAGGAGTCACTGAGACACTGACAGCACTGTTAGCATCATTTAACTTTACACCCACCTGGTGAAAGATTAAAGTCATATTGTTTGAATGCAGTTGTTCTTGCTAATTCCCTCCTGATCAGCTGTGATTGGTTATTCTAAAAAGGCTTTACCTTGTTTTCCTTTAAGAACACATTTAGGCTGGTCTTGTGACTTTGAACGTGGAAGAGGAGACCTGTCAGATATTGAGGCCGTAGCTCAAAAGCCAACACAAACTGAGAGCCAGCGTTGAAGTAATTCTCTAAAATAGAAATATTCCTTATTAGATATGAGGTCAGTGTTATGTGTGAGTTAAATTCATACACCAACAAGAGGTCAATTCAACAGGCACCATGACGTTTGACAAACCTAAGGCGATATGACCACCACCAAAGTATGTCCCCATCTCTGTGAGCCCATCCAAGCAGGGTAGAGTTTTGTAGCTTCCTTTAGGCTCACCGATAGCTACGTCATTCATTTTGAAATCCCGTATACAACCGATAACACTGTTTATGGTAATGTTGTGTCCCTGAGGGAGGACAGAAAGAGATAAAGGAAAGAAGGTCAACAAATAAGGGAAAAATGGCTGTCTAACAGTCAATCAGTGACTCAAAGGTGTAATACAGACCTTTGTATATCCCTTGATATCCCCTCCCAGATACACAGGGTTGTGAAAGTCTAAAGACGATCCTTCATTATTTGGCAGGTGTCCATCAGTCACACGGATCCCATCGACAAGCAGATGAAAAGAGCTCTTCTCCACACTGAACTCCACCTGTCACACAGGTAACATGACCCAACAAAAGTTATTCCCCTAAAGATGCCAAACTGATTTTAATTCACAATAAGTTTACATTTTTAGCAAAAACATAACTAGACAACAAGGGCCGTTAAGCTTTGGACTCCTTCATGTTGAAAATATTTGAAGGTGGTGTGTGAGTGTACTCTGATAGACATTCATACAAAGACTTATTATATTATAATAACACAAAGCCATCATGCATATTTTGGATCATTTTTGCAGTGTTTGATTCAAAGCAAATCATCTGGAAGTAATGTAAACTAAGCTAGGGAAATGTTAACTCATCTAGTTCAAGCATTAGCTCATCATATAACTACAGCTAATATAATTGGCAAGAGACAGGACATTTAGACTTCTGTTGTGCAAAAATGAAGACCTAAAATTACTGCAAATTGTGAGTGGTATATTTAGCTCCATTGTAAACTATGTGTGAGACTGGAAAGTGTTATAGGCTTAGCAACAAAAAAGCCAATTACTCTGTGCCAGTCCCCGTCGCTGCTCTTCTGCTTGTGCTGGATGAGTCTGTTTTGCCCGAGGGACATCTTGATCTTGCCATTGGCCATGTAAAGAGCCAGCAGGGGGATGACTCCTCTCCCTGCTACATGGAGAATCAGCCCTTTGGACAGCTTCGTCTTTACGTCAAGAGAGAAATGAGGCCTGAGACACAAGAGTGAGGTCTCTGTTAATATGAAATATTAAATAGATAGATAGATGCATTTAAAAGTGTAATAAGGGAGGTTTTATTTGACAACATACCCAAAAGTACACCAAACCAAAACTATAAAATACTCGACCAACACTCGTAATTTCCACATCTTCAGAAAGTTATTTTATTGTTTGTATAACTGCATTACCTGTGATTGAGGTCCTGTTGTGGCAGGGTGTAACTGAGCCAGCTGTGCTTCTCATAGAGATGATACTCTGCATGTTGTGCTTGCCGATATTTACACTGGCTGCCTGCAGGAGCCTGAATTTGACACATCGCAGAGAAACGCATCACTATTTAATTATATGAGCAGTGGGGTAATTATCATGGTGCTGTAGTAATAATGGCTTCTGTGCTTTCATGGTCTTTTACAGGGGCTGGTAAAAGTGTGTGTGGCGGCAGACATAAACGGCCAAGGCCAATGACCTTTTGTGAAAATTATCTTAGATAAAATAGCTCTGTTCACAGCTAAATAAACATAAATGCTTTTATGTTTTCCTGGTTTCTTTCAGCTGTATGTGTCCATTTACTTTGAAAGTGCTGCAAACTAGGAGTCGAGGTTAAAACAATTGTTGCAGATATGGATTTGTGAGAAGATCTTTTGTTGTTGTTTTTGTCAAACATGCAATCACATGTTTGGCATATAAACTGATCTGACTTGTTTGACTTAGGGCAGTTATTGTTCAATGGCCTTTTAAACATGTTCTTGTTTAAAATAGCTGCCTAACACACAGTTGTCGGAAACGAAAACAATAGGGCAATAGATGGTTACAAGTTTTGTAGAGCAGCTGTTGACTACAGAGTCAGGTGATTGTCTCTCTGGGTTCATCACTATGAGAAACACATTTAGAGCAGCTTTAAGCTACTGCTGGCAAGAAACCAAACTTTGAAAGAAAAACGTTACCCTGTGAAGAAAGTGTCTTGTCTCCTTTATAACATCCTTGATTCTCCTGATGCTTTCTGTCATGTTGGCACCAGGAAGCCTCTTCCTGCTGAGAGCCTCAACATCTGTGATTTTGTCCTTTAACACAGGGAGGGCTGTGTTCAAGTTCTTCACTGAACAATCACATAAAACAAATTTAACTCAATGAGATTATTTCAGCTAGATTTCAGTTTAGCAAGATTACATTTATGAAAGCAATATAATTAATAATGTGTATTTTTTCTGCCATTGAATACTCACATGTCTGGTCTGAATCAACCAAAATATCGTCAATATTCACACTGACATCGGTCAAAGTTAGTTTCTGCACTTCCTGGCTGATGTGCCTGAGTCTCTGTGTTATTTTACTGACTGTGGAGTTAGAGGCAGATGCAGCGTTTTTTGCAGACTCTATGGAGATGCCTGTGTCGTCTGAAATCAAAAGACTATTATAATCCGTTGTTAAGAAGGTACAGTGTGTAATATATCCTTGTCATGTGATCCTCAAACCTTTTCTGATATTTTTGAGGTTGTCACTGACTGTAGAGATGCCCATTCGCAGTAATTCTCCTTTTTCCATCTTCTTCTTCATGCCATCTTTAAGAATGTTCATTGTCTGGGACTGCACTGTTAAAAATAAATTAAAAAGGGTTTCAATTTTGTGTATTTAAAAGTAATAAAATGTGTAAGACTTGGTACTGTATAAATCATGCTTTTCTCGCACTTTTAAGTGTCTCGTTGGCTTCTGTCCACAAATGTGTTGATTTATCTTTGAGTCCTTTGGCCATGTTGACAAGACCTGCCTCCTTTGCATCCTAATAAATAGAATCAGAATAATATCAACATTTCTGCTAATGCTATTTATATTATTTAACATTCAGTCTACTAAAATCACCTGTGTTACCATTAGTGCTCTTTCAGCCGCCTCTCTGCTCTGACTTGCTGCCATCTCTGCATTGTCTTTGGCATTTATGATGCTGTTATAAACTCCTATACCCAGTTCACTGAGCAGGTCATCACTGATGGTACTAACATTATGAAGCAATCTGAAATGACAGTGAATTAATATCAGCAGTTGTCTTTAGTGTTAATAGTCATCTTAACTATATTCACATTTTTAAATTCCTCTGTTTCACACTTACGGTTGAAACTCTGCTGCCACTCTGCTGAGCTCCTCTGCGTGCTCCTCAGCCTTAGTAACACTGCCCATCGTGGCCTTCATTTGGAAAATGTTATTTAACTTTTGAAAGAGTTTCCACTTGGCACCATCTACTTCAGCTGCATGGTTTTCAAATTCCTGCAATTTTCACACAATGAAATCAGATTGCACACTAAAAAAATGTGTCTGGTTATTATGCTGGTAGTTGCTGCTTACTTTCTTGGTTTCGTCAAGCATTACAAATATGTTGGTTATATTCTTTAGCAGATCTTTAGTTATTTCTGTCACAGGATGGAGCCTCTTTTGTTTTGTCCCCAGCTGAGATTGAAGATACTGACAAATGATAAACAAACATAAACACATCAGGGACACCACACAATGAGGAATGTATAAGGCTACCAGTGCTAGCTATGTACCACATCACCTCCAGATGTTTTACGGCATTACGACCCCTCCTGTTGAGGGCCTGTGTCGTGTGTACTCTGTCCTCAGCATCTGACAGCAGCTCAGCCATCTCCCTCAGAGCAGAGTCTGAGAACATCAGAGACTCTACTACAGTCAGATTCAATACTGCCTGGTCTGTGGCTGACACTGAGGAAAAAACACACTTATTATTTTTACACGTTAAGGCAATCTACTCTGTTACATTGATATACATTTTCTGGGTTGTATATTATATATATGTTGGAAATGGACCAAACTGTGTTATCAATGTGTTACTCCATTTCCATTTTTATCTTTGCAGTTGTATTATCTCAGCCAATGGGACTTTTGCTAAGCTAACCGGCTGTAGCTATACATTTATATAAAATAGTAAAAGTGGGTTGTATCCTAACTGACATTCGTAACAGAACATTTCTGCATCCTTTTATCCATAAACTGTAAGAAATTAAAATCAATGTTGATATGGCGTAATTTAAATTAAATACAGGGTTTTAATTTAAAGCAGTTTTATTGTGAAAAAACCGGAAGTTTACACTTACACCTTTATTCTGAAAATTCTTCATTTCCGGTTAGCATTAGCATGTGGCTAACGTTTTGAAACCGTGAATTGAAGGTAAAATTACATGTGATGTTGTACACTAAACACACTGGGATTAACACTCATTTATTGACGCTGAAATAACGTTTATCAGGGAATATTTAAATAACCACAGACATCAGAATTATGTAATTTAGCAACAGAAAAAGGCAGGAATTGCATTGGACCCGCCCCCGTCGACGCCAGCCAATAACAGAAGACTACAGTGGACAACCCGTGAGCCACAGGATGGATCGGCCCTTTTTCTGAGCTCGGCTGACCCAACGCAGACGCGAGAGGCAACCAGCTGAATGGGGAGAGGCCTCCATTTTGCAATTTCATTGTAGATCACCGCATTATTTGTGTAATTAAATGCTGTTCACTTTTATAAGCTTCCCTTGACTCTTTTCAGTTTGTCCTGCTCTCAGGGTTCAAGAATTTCCTACAAAACTGAGCTGTCTGAACATAAGCTCTATGCCAGGAAGTAATCAATTAATCAATGTTGTTGTATCTCACATTTGTGCACGTCCTCCTGCTCTCTGTCTCTCTGAGCAGTGCATCCTTTGTCTCTCATTTCCTGCATGATGCGCTGAGCCTCTTCCATCATCCTGGCTTTGCTGTTTTCAGAGAGAGTAGCAGCCTCTCTGGGTTTCACATCAGTTTGCTGCTTTAATAAATCTGACAGATGGCAATAACAGAAACACTGCTTTTAAAATATATATCTGTTGGTCACTTTGGCATCATTATTCCGTCACACAACATCATTGATAAATCTGGGTTCTTGCCCAACATCTACACAGGGCTGTAAGCAGGGCCGCCCCTCCCTACAGGCCAATCACGCAGGCTGCATGGGGCCCCGCCTTGCGCAGGGGGCCCCGCCCAGAGGGCCTCAGCTGCTGTGCGCAGTTCTCCACTCAGTTCTCCACTCAGTTCTCCGCGCACCCCCCGCGAGAGTGAGAGGTGACAAGGGGAGCACGTGTGTAACCCGACACCGTTGCAATGAATCGACATCTGACCAATCACGGCTTTGATACGGCCACTAGTGCAGGTGAAGAGATGTCGGTGAAAATACAGTTTCAGTCCGGGGCAAGCAAAAGGGGAAACAAAACATGAAGAAACTAGAGCATCACTCGAAGGTGGGTTATTGTATGAGTCAAATATACAACTTGTGAATGTAGTATAAGTCAAATTGCCAATTGCCATATTAAAACATCAGCTGCAATTCAGGACATGAAGAAGGCAGTCTCTGCATAGCATATAGGCTAATGGCATTTAAAAACAGTAAAAGATAATAAAAGAAACATTAAAAGAAAAAATATATGAATAAAAAGTAAACTTTTAACAGTCCTCATCATGTCAACCACAACACAGAGAAATACTGATAGAAATGTGTGTGTAGTTGTTGATACATTGCTGACAGAGGGAACTACATTTGAATACAGATTTAAGAAATATCAGTTTTTGAGCATGTCATAAGCATGTTTTGTCTTGACTATATTACAACAATATTATAATAAAATAATATATTTATATTATTGAATTGATTATGATTATTATTAGTAGTAGTAGAAGTAGTTTATTTGCATTAATTATATTTTAATCTTTTTGAGGCTAGTATTTGGCAGGAAATGCAGACGTACCTGTAAACGCATACTGAACGACATACATGCACATTTACCATTTACCTCACTGTATACAAAAGTAACTGTTGATAATAATAATAAACAGGAATTATATTTGCAAAGTAGCCTACTTTGTTTCCAAAAACAACTGTCGGTTGGGGGGGGGCCTCATCTCACAATGTCGCTTGGGGCCCCAAGTTGGCCAGGGGCGGCCCTGGCTGTAAGTGTAATGTCCCGAAAATGTAAAATGAATGATAAACTGATGTAGGCCTACCTTGTATTGCTGCGAGAAGATCCTCTACCTTCGACTTTGTTTCATTCACATTCTGCACAAGCTTCTCCAGATCTGATATGGCTTTTAGTTTCTGAAAGGTTTATCATGAGTAAAAAGTTGTGTCAAGGCTTCTCGTATTCTTTCAGATTAGTTTTTGTACATTACTTGTTATCACTGCATCAAAAAGAAGATAGCCTATTCATAAAACTCAGCAGGACATTAGGTGGCATTGGGAGTATGCCATTGATGCATAACACTACCTCCTGCCATACATTTACAATTTAAATTAAAAAAATGCAACAACAAAAAAATTGCAATTTGTCTCTGACAATATCCACATCTGCTTCCAGCTGTTCAACCAGGTGTCTCACAGCAGTGCTGTACCTCCAAACCAGATTCTGCAAACTCTTCGGCAAGCACTTAATAGAATAATTTTTAAAGGACTGTTAATTACTACACTCAACTGAAACCTCTGTTTCAGAGATGTTGTCCTGCAGGTCGTTCGGCCAGGAAATGGAAGCGGGGCCATCGGTGACGTTCTGCAGCTGCTGCTTCATCAGAGCCAAGACATCATCCAACGTCTCCAAGTCCAACAGTAAGGAGACATTACAGCTGTCACATTCTGTCATCAGACACAAGCACAGAAACACTTTACCACATTTCTATGTAATTCTTCTGTGTCAAAAACATGATTGTAAGCCAGACGTCAACGCAAACTCACCATGGCAGTGAGCGCCGCTGCTGCTGTTATCAGATGCGATGCACTCTACTCAACATAAAATACACAACCAAAAAGATTGGTAACATTATAGAAACATCTAGGTGTATTTTTGGGAGTTTGACCCTATACTATAGGGACCAAAAGGCAGGATATCTCGGCCTCTGCAACTTTGATTTTGTCCTCCAACGTTTTGGAAGTCAAACATAAACTCAACTTAACCTTTTGAAACATAGAAACTAAAATAAATCACTACTAATGTCTCTTGGTTGGGGAGCTGTTTATATCAAAAACGTTGTCTCTAATTGTGTGAGAATTCATATTTACCTCCAGTCAGAGAATCACAGATGTTCAAGCTGCCCTTGCAATTGCAGGGCTTGCAGCTGCTTCCATGCACCATTGGGTTGCCAAAGTATCCAAACACACATCTTAAACAGGACAAACAAACCGATGTTAAGCTTAAATCATTTTTGTTTCAGTCCTGTGCCTTGCATTGAGCATTGGAAAATAGGGAATAGGATGCAACATATTGCTCCATTGTTGGTAATCTTGAGGTGTTTATTAGCTTGTGTTGGGTGAGCGTCCGTTTTTCCACCAGCAGACACACCTCTCACATCTGTCTCCACTGTAACCATGTCTGCACACGCAATCCATCTCTCCTGAGCCAATGTCCAGGCAGGCCAGCGCAAAACTGCAAAAAGACACATTTACATCCTAATACTGATTCAGAGCAAAATCAGATGAGCCTGGTTGAGCTACGTAATGAACAATGATCTTACTTGTTCCATATGAAGGGGCATGGACAGACATGGCAGGTCCTGTTGGCTGCGTCTCCATAGAAACCCTCTTTACAGCGCTCACAGTGGTCCCCAGTGGTGTCAAACTGACAGTTCTGGAGGTTTAATCAAACACAAAATGAACAACATGTTTTGCCTTTGTGTTGGCCCACAACATTTAAGCTGCTTGTGCTGTAAATAAACACATGTGTCTCTGTGTGTATGAGAGAGCACCAACCACACAGTTCCCTGTTTGCTCATCGCAGTCCTTGGAGAGTTCATTGCAGCGGCATGGCACACACTGACCCGTGTATAGTCCCGCCCTCTCTCTGTAGAAGCCAGAGCTGCACTTCTACACAGAGACAGAGAGATAAACAATAGACTGTAGGATCATCGACACACGCTAACACTCACAACCCCACTCACCTATTACAATCATGCTGCAAAGTGATTAACTAAGAATATGTGAATTGTATCTTATTGATTACATATTGTATCAGATGCATTAACTCAGAAAATCTCTAATGGTTTTAGTATGTCAGGAAGTGACATGAAGAAACACAGGATTAAGAAAGTGTGTGTTTGTCTAAGTTAGGTCTAGGGTTAAGCTTAGGATGCCATAAAAAAAATATATACGTTTTATTCGTGAGACATTATGAAATGTATGAATAAAGTGATAGTGGCTGTATATAATGTCACACCACAATATGATTAACTTTTTGAAAGGGTAGGAAGAATTTCAGGTGGAAATATTTTTTTAAATCCAACAAAGCGCTGCATTACCTGAGTGATGGCGCCTGCTGTGTGCTTGCTGAAGGCAGGATCACAAAACTTGTTGATGCTGTGTGTCTTCTGATAGATCTGACTGTCATGTCTACGCTTTGAGCGTTTCTCAGTAGAGTTACAAACTGGAGCAAAGCAGAGCAAAAATAACCACACTGCACTAAAAAGCAAAGATATTTTCCACTGCATTATAAAGTATTCAGTAAGCCATGTCAGTCTAGCAGTGAAAAAGCCTCCCTCTCCGTTGTAGAGCTCCTCCTCCCAGGTAAACCCTGCAGCAGGTGAACCTTGGAGCGTTTTATGTTAGACTTCTGAAGAAAAGTGCGGCAGTAAATCAGACTCAAGGTTCAGAGGGGTGCGGTTGAACTTGTAAAGAATGATGGAGCATGTATTTGAACAATAATTGGTTGAACAATGCAACATGCAGATCAATAGACAAATAGGCAACTCGTCAGAGAAAATTATTCCACATTTTATTATTAGTCAGTCCAGAAGTTAGGATACTTAGTTGACCCAGTAGAAAACCGATCAGAAGTTGTTTAAAATAGTAGAATACACATGCACAAAAAAAATACAAAGCACCATTTAAATTTCAGACACATTCAATTTGAAGCTCAATTTAAAATTGAGTCACCCCTTATTATAGGTGTTACTGTACAACTAATATATCAAAGAGTAAGAGATGTTGCAGAATTCAAAATTGTACTTTATTTTGTAGTAAATGTACCTGAGACAGTACATTTAAGTACATTTTGTCTCTTAGAAAATAATTAATGATATTTAAAGCCCAATTATGAAACTTTTGTAAAATTGGATTGTGGCTATGTGGGGATCATATTTATGTTCTCCAGTTTAATCCCTTCATAATATGACGCAATGAGGAAATATCCAAAGGCTCAGCAATGTATATTTCCCAGGATCAATAGGTTGAATCTCCCACCTTCTTTTATCAAGAACATAGGACTCTATGAAAACTAAATGAAGAACCCTCTTATGGGTATAAATTATCATATAGCTACCTTGAGCTCAAATTGAGAAGAATCATGAATCAGTGATCTGACTCTGTAATGTGTAACATTTGCTAAAATAAGCCACCATTGACTTAAACAGTTGACTAATGTGTGTGTGTCATAACTTACAAATCCACATACAAATTGATGTGTGTACCACGTCCCTGAGAAAAGCAAAGTGTCAGAAAGGTTCATAATGAGTTGCAGATAGAAAACATAAAAACGTGAAAGTCCAGTGGAAAAGTTCCACATTTGCAAAAAATGATCTCATCAGACTCATATAATAGGGTACAAGGAGTAGCTCGCGATGCCACAAGTGTTTCTGCCGTCTCTGACCAGCCGCATGTAGCCGCCTTCACCCCAACTGCTACCCCAACTAAAAAGAAAAAACAGTGATTGATAAAAAAGAAACACTTTTACATGTGGTATGAATAAGAAATGTAATTCTATACAATGTCAAACCAGTCATTCTGTATATAGTTCT